TGAATATATAAAGCAAACGACTGAAGTCGAACCGATATATATTCATTCGACAAAGGTTGTCACTGAATTCTTTTGATCTGATGACGATTAGTAGTGCTTTCCGCATATTTTTCTTGTCAATAATATTGTTTTCAAATAATTTCGAAACACGGTTGGTAATTAGTATTGAAGTATGTAGAAAGAAAATTGAACTCATTTTCCTGTCTTCACGCCCTTCCCTCCACCTTAAAGACTATGCCAGATGAGCCAGCATCACAGGTTAGGACAGAAAGATAAAATAGGAAACAATTCCGAATGCTACAATAATCGATGTGGCTACATCCCATTTTAAAAGAATGGAACGCACTGAAACGAGTGCATCGTGCTTTACATTTTAATCCCACAGGGATTAACCTGAAAGTTTTTTTAAGTTTCATTTCTTTATCTCATTCCATCTGAGATCAGCGCGATTCAGTTGCATCTTGTAGATGTTGTTAATTTTTGAAGGTTTCGGACAACTGAATCTAGGTCAAATTTTATCAGACAACGGTTAGGTATTGTCATGTAATTGAGGCTGAGTTCTGTCGCGCAAGTCACCAGAGTTCTCCGTGCAACATGCCTACAAAGAAATTGCTTCTAAGAACAATCTGGCATGCTATAAATTCCCTCCTTCTATTTTCATCGAAAGTAAAATGACAAAATGAAAAGTATCTCGTACATTTTTTCACTTGAGAAAGCTTAACACACTGACAGTATTAAAGACGCAGTATGACAGCATTATCATGGTCACATATGTAATTTGTTTGAAAAACGCGTTCTGTATATACCTGATTCTAGATTATCAAGTCATTTCATAAATACCAATCGATTGTCGTACATCGTTCAAAATACATAGAATGGATTTTCGGCACCAAGCAACACAAACGAACAGACAACACAGTTCTGGTCGCAATTTCTATGGTTTGACATTGAAAGATGTTCTCAAATTGACTTCTTCACTGATTCATCCTCTTGCGCTTGGCATCTTCACCGTAATAAGCACCACTAATCAACAAAAAGAAGCCATGAGACAGCATGAAAGAGATGTATTGCTACGGCAGCAAGAATTGGACACTGCAAATGTACAAAATGAACTTCAGAAACACATGGCAGCTCAACGATATCAACAGGAATTACTTTCCACCTATATCGAGAATATAGGTAAGCTTTTGGAAACAGTAAATGGTACACTAGCATCAAGTCATATCATTTCTGCATTGGTTCGTGCAAAAACATTCGATGCAATAGGACAACTTGATAGTCTACGTATGACACGTATCATTCGTTTTCTCTATGAAGCTGGACAGTTAAGTAACACAAATCAAAGTAATCCATTGGATATTTCAACAATAGAACTGATTGGCATCGACAGAAGCGCCTTCAAAACTGCAACCAAAATTGGAATCTTATCCTTGATTAGTGTCATTTTGCGAGATTGTGAGCTCAACAATACACATGAGCAAGATGTTGACTTTTCATCTACTCAATTCGAAAAAGTTAACTTTTCATCTGCTAATCTCAGCAATGTCCGTTTCTCATTTGCGCGGTTCTACGATGTAACGTCCAAATCTGGTACGCTTCAATATTTGCAATTTCACTCGGGCATGCTAGGTAACCAAGAATCTATTCTAAGTAGTTTTACACATATATTTCCCCACTGTACGTTTAGGGTTGACTGATTTCAGCTATGCAAAGATTTTTCAAACAATATTTGAGCAAAGCCAGTGCCGTGTGGCGAACTTCAGTCATGTCAAAATATCGGGGTCAACATTTTTACATGCAAACGCCAAACGAGCTGTCTTCAAATATGCTCAAGTGACCAAAGTTGATTTTAATCAAAGCAACCTGTGTGAAGCCGATTTTACTGATGCTACAATAGAAGACAGTCCACTATCGAGTGCTCCCTCAATTAGAGACACTTTATTTCCTAATAGAACACGTGGCCATGATTTGAATTTGATCAACGATAGGCAAGTTGGTTGTAACCTATCTCTTATCAATCACTGGAAACTACAAACTGGTGCAGTAACTACAGTTGACACTGTCAATGGGTGTCACTTCTCTTTACTATCCTATAACATAGGCGCAATCATGTTACGATATATCCAAATAGCCAATGTTTGGAATTCTGATCTGTGGCCGTTCTCAAAAGTCCTCTTCGAATCACACATTGGAAAAGATGTATCAATACAGCTCACAACAATGAACAGCGGCGAAGAAATTCTTCTTCAAAGAAATTTGAGTAAGTTTATAAATGCTAGCAATCAACATAACGCCTTCTCGTTTTAAAAAAGGCTCAACTGGAAGCAGCATCGCAATGGCACTGCATAAAAACATACAAAAACTGGAGATTTGGATTAGATTCAAAACACAACCTAATAAAACTTTCCTTAACAACAGCTGGCTCGATAGCATTATACTATTTGTTGACTACGACACGCAAATCGAATATTCACGAGGTATGTAATCAGTGATTTTCTAAGGATAGGCATCTTCTTCTCGCTCAATCAAATTCATTCTTCTATCCTCACTATTTTGAGTTCTAATAGAGTTTTCGTTTATTTGGGGGAATTTTATCCCGTAAATTTTCTGTACACGCCAAGCGAAACTTTTCCCTTCGCCATGAAATCCAGAAAATCCTAATCAATTCTCATCAATAGGTTTAGAAAAATAACTAGATACTTCACTAGCGACATCGATTTTTCGATCGCATGAAAGAAACTCTCTTGGTATGGTCACTTTTGGGAGAGTGGAATATCTTTGGATAAAATATAGAAGCAGTTTGCACGACTTTTAGAGCTAAAATGATTCATATTGATACATCTGTTGAGCATGAAGTTTTTCCGAAGTGAAATCTCCCAAACCACGAAATCGGCGAAAATTCAAGATCATTTCAATGTATCAAGTCACCAAAATTTTCAAAATAACTCTACCAAATCTAGCTCACCTGATTAGATTGGTGTGAAAAGAGGCGTAGTATGGAATTAGCATTGCTCTTTCTTCGAGGATCTCCTTGCAGTAATCTCCAGGTGTAGTTTTTTATGTCAAAAAAATCTTGGTAAAAACTAAAAGTGACATAGATGTAAGAAACGTTACGAAATTCTTTTTTTTTTCATAGGAAACTAGGAAAAGGTTTCTGAATTTTTATCTGAGGAAAGAACATTCTCAAAGATGAATGTCATATTTGTAGCGCTTTCTCCAACAAGAGACGAGATCCCTTCGACAACGACGATTTCTTTTCTTTTTCCTTCATTATAGTAATTCCAAATATTCCAGCCAATTCCCGATGGGAACAGAACGGCGTGACTATGGCTGGAGGCAATGGACCAGGCAGTGCCACCAATCAACTCGACTGTCCTTATGGTATCTTCATTGATGATGATCAAACGATGGTCATTGCTGACTGCTACAATCATCGTATCATTCAATGGAAGATGGGTGATACGAATGGACAAGTAGTAGCTGGTGGCAATGGCGAAGGAAATCGATTGGATCAATTGCATTCTCCAAGCGATGTGTTGATCGACAAAGAGACGGATAGTCTCATTATTTGTGATCGAGGGAATGAACGAGTCGTACGATGGCCTCGTCGTAGTGGCACAACTCAAGGAGAAACCCTCATCGACAACATCAAGTGTTGGGGATTGGCCATGGATACTCAGAGACATCTTTACATCTCTGACTTCGAAAAATATGAAGTAAGACGATATCAAACAGGAGACAAGAAAGGAACTATCGTGGCTGGTGGTAATGGTAAAGGTGATGGTTTCAATCAACTCAACGCTTCGACCTACGTCTTTGTCGATCGAGAACAGACTGTTTATGTGTCAGACTGTGACAATCATCGTGTGATGAAATGGAATAAACATGCAAAAGAAGAAATTGTCGTTGCTGGGGGTCAAGGCACAGGGAATGATCTGACACAATTGTGGAATCCTAAGGAACTGTTCGTCGATACATTGGGTACTCTCAATGTGGCAGACTCGTTGAATGATCGAGTGATGCGTTGGCCTAAAGGAGCGAAACAGGGCACTGTTATTGTAGGTGGAAATGGTAAAGGAAACGGAGCAAATCAGTTCTACCATCCCATTGATTTGTCTTTCGATCATCATGGCAATCTCTATGTCGCCGATACGAAAAATAATCGTGTGCAGCGTTTTTCTATCGAGCAGACTCATTACGACGGATCTTTTTCTTTTTTTTCTCTCGAATAAATCACGTTGAATTGATGAAAACGATGTCTATTCTATTCGCGCGCGCGCGACCAGGAACCACCCTGGTGGAGCCGTGGGGGGTGTAACGCTCATGCACGCACGGGGCAGACTCAAATCATTCACATCTCCCCCACTCGAGGGATATGTCAATAATTCTGGATAAGCCCGGTCGTGTGCCACGGACACCAAGACGGTTTTTGGCCGGGCTTTTAGGGACTACCCGGAAGTCCTTCATAGAAGACGAAACCCTAACATTCAACGGACAGAACTCACTCTCCTCAATCTGCCTCTTCCTTATTCTCATCACAAAAAAAGAAAAAAAATTTAATTAATGCTATGTAATGAAAAAGAACGAGATGACTTACTCCACCTGTTATCTTGTTCTTCACTGTCCAATACCTAAAATGAAAAAAAAACAATACATAAAAAAGATCAGAGAAGGACTTACCACTCTCCATATTATCTAAAAGAAAAACAAAAATAAAAAACTGATACCTAGGGTGTGGGTGTGGATTTGGGTGGGCAGAAGAGTCACACCCACACCCTAGGTTTGAATAAATTCCAGATTAACACTCACACCCCATCCACACCCACACCCACACCCACACCCCACCCCACACCCATACTAATCTTCCATTAAATTATCAATCACCACAATCTTTTTCACTATCACTAAAGCTTTCAAAATGTTTCACATCATCGTTATCATTACCGATTGGCATTAGCTATTCATCAGTTGATTTATTTGAATAAACTATGTTGGTTGACAATTGAACACGATACAGATATAAATTTCGGGTAGATTATTGATGATTTTTCATATATTCACAATATCACAAAATACTCATCGCGTTAATACATAAGCTTCTTCTTATTTCTTTTATCGTTTTATACACAGTCAACAATAAATTTTATATAGAAAAACTTCTTGGAATTTATTCTAAGATTTCTTCAAATTCATAGCGAATTTAACTTAAAAAGTTTAATAAGATTCAAAATACATATTATTCAAATGAAATTTGTCGAAAAGTCTTTCTCAATTCGAATAAAAGAAAGTTTGACTTTCGATAATATGAATTCTTTTAGACAAATCAAAATAAATTCATATTGATTGATAAGTGACAGTGATTCGTTCATAAAGTTTTTCTATGGATCTTGATTATTATTTGCAAAACAAAATTCAATCTAACACTCACCGCTTATTAAAATCTATGATATGAGAAACATCGAATATGCACAATTACCAAAAACAAAAACAAAATCTTTTACACAGTTATCAAAATTTGATTTCTAACTATGCCCATCAAGTAAGTTTCAAGCTTTTCCAGTTAGTTCAAGGATTCTATGCTCAGTTCTTTGACGATTTGAATCGTGAACAGGAAGAAATTTTTCATAAATAGTTAATGCACGTTGATAGTATTCAAGTGCTAGATTTAGCTTGTTTTGATTTTCATAACAAAGGCCAATATTATTCAAACTGGAGGTGATATCTACATGACCTGATGGATAGAATTTTTCACGAATTTTCAATGCTTGTTGATAATAGTACAGAGCTATATCGTACTTTTCTTGATCAAAATGAATATCACCTATGTGTTTGAAGCTATAAGCCATGTTAACATGACCCAATGGATAAAATTCTTGTTGAAGTTTGAATGCGCGTCGATAATAATCGAGAGCTTCAGCGTATTTTCCTTGAATATTGAGAATAATACCAATTTTGCTAAAATTTCCAACAAGGTCAATATGACCAATTGGATAAAGATTCTCTTGAATTTTCAATGCTTGTTGATAATAATAGAGAGCTACATCATACTTTTCTTTACAATACTGAATTTCACCAATATTGTTAAAGGTATGAACAATATCCTCATGACCAATTGGATACAATTTCTGTAGAATTGCCAATACTTTTTGATGATAGTTTAGAGCTTCATTGTATTTTCTTTGATTACGAAGAACCATACCAATGTTATTGAGATTTGTAGCAATGGTCTTATGACTAGATGGATAAAATTTCTCCAGAATTTTCAATGCTTGCTGAAAATAATCGAATGCTTCATTATACTTTTCTTGATCATAAAGAATAGTACCAATGTTATTGAAGCTATAAGCCATTTTCACATGACCAAATGAATAAAGTATCTGTTGAATTTTTAATGCTTGTTGATTATAATCCAGAGCTTCATCATATTTTCGTTGATTACGAAGAATGATACCAATGTAATTGAGGCTTGTAGCAACGTTGATATGAATAATTGAATAAATTTTCTGTTGAATTTCTAATGCTTGTTTATGATAATCAAGAGCTTGATCATATTTTTCTTGTTTACAGAAAATCATACCAATATTTTCGAGACTTGTAACAATATCGGCATGACCAAATGGATAAAATTCCTCGATAATTTTTAATGATCGTTGATAATAATCGAGAGCTTCATCATATTTTCCTTCATTATCAAGAATAGTACCAATATTATTGAGAACACGAGCAGAATCTTTTATTCGTGCTGGTTTACTCTTCATCATTCGATCATATGCACAATCGTAATATTCTCGAGCTAGATTCCATTCACCTTTACAATAAAGAGCTTCACCAATATTAAATTCAATCCAAGTACGATCCTCATTTTGAATATTATTGCATAATAATTGTTGAAAATATTTTTGTGATTTATCATATTCACCTAAATCATATAATAATCTTCCAAAAATAATTGAAATATTCATTCCTTCTGTTTCTTTTTGTATTAATTCAATATAATCTTTAGTAATTTTTTGTCCTTCATTTGAAAGATTCATTTTAATTATTTGTATTGATTTATTTTCTTGTATAGATTCAATTTGAAAACAAGTATTTAAATCAAATAAAACTTCTTGTTCATATGGATAATCACTATATTGATCAATATCAGCAAAAGTTATATTTTTATCAATATGTTTAATATCACATTGAATATGAAAAAGAATAGAAACAAGATCAGTTGTTCTTTTTGTTGATTTTTGTGCAAAATTTGATGCAAATGATTTTAGTCGACTAGTTAAGAAATATCCATTTGTTGAAATAAGTTTTCTTTGATTTTGTTTTATTTTATCAAATTCTTCTTTACTAAGTTTAATTCCTCGATAAACATTTAAAGTTGTTTCGTTTGAAAATAAAATTTTTTCATGTTCACGTTGAAGATTTTCAGAAAGATCTCCAATAAAAAATCGAAGTTTATATAATAAATCAATATCTTTGATTCGTAAAGCTTTATTAATTAATTTATAAATAAATGATCGTTTTGAATACCAAAGAAGTGCATCTTTAGATCGATAGTTTTGCTCAAATTGATGAATTAATTCTATTTCTTTTCTATTTCCATGATAATAATCTTTACATATTTGAATCATTTGTTGTTTAGCTTGTTGATCTCGTGGCAGAGTAGAAAGTATATAATTAAATAATTGAAACCAAACAAATTCCGTTGAATCTTTGGATAAATCTTCAGTTAATTTTTGATATTGATCAAAAAATGAGAAAGTTTGTATTTGTCTATCAACAAGATTAATTTGTTCTTTTATTACTTTATATAAATCATCAAGATTAATATAAATTCCAATAATTTTTGAATAATTATTTAATAAATAATCATCTTGATTTTTTTCCATAGAAAATATAAAAATTGAATCAATTTGACGGAGAGAAGAAACTCGAGGTAAAATTTGTAATGCTTTTAATCTTGAAGTAATTAAAAAAATTTTTTCTTGATGAATTGATTCAATAAATGTAATACATTGTTCATGATCACTAGCAAAAATAACATAATCATTTATATGACCCAATGTTTGTTTTAGTTTTTTAGGATCTTCATTTGATCCAATATTTGGATCAAACCAAATAATTGTTATACTTTCTTTATTTTCATCATCATTTGTTTTTACAGATTGTTTGTCTTCAATGCTTTGAACTGATGATTCATTGCCCATCGAATGTGAAATGTAGTTATATTATAGTGAAGCAAATAGTGTTGTTATACAACAAAAATGTAATGTCAATATATATATGTATATATATATGTCGAAGAACTTTGTCTAAAAATAAACAAATTTAAAGGTTGAAAGAAGTTATCTTTTCATATCAATAGAGAAAAAAATGTTTCTGTTGTTTTTCTTCTTGCCTTTTCGTTGTTTATGTTCGAATACAATATTCTCTTATCATTTGGTTACCAGTGAGTCAATATTAGTATTTGATGAATAAGACTCTCCTTGAAAGAAGTCCATGTAAGGACATTCAGCTTTTTTGGTCACTTCCCTTTCCGAAAATACTCAATAACGTAAAAGTTATATAACCATAATGGGATCTTGAAAGATGCAGGTATTAGTGTTGGTGTGGTTGGTAGAGTCTGTATTTCTTCGAAATCTGATATGTGAATTTCTCATCTGAAAGGTTGATCCTTTTCTATAAAACTTTTAAGATAAACTCATCAAATGAAAACTTCTTATGATCAATGCTGGACAGAAAAGAATGATTCAACTTTTATGGAAAAAGTATAATATTTTCTAAATGAAAGTTTGGTGTAGAAGAAATATAATCTTTAAATGTTCCATTCTATTGGAATATAAAACAATGAGTAAAGGTCAGTTATAGAACCTGTCAGGACTTTTTAATACTCATCCGAGTAGGCCTAGTCAATCTTAAACTTATAATAATACTGTGTTGCATTATTTCGTCTGTAGATAATGACCTTTAACAACGTCAATTTTCAGCAAAGTTTCATTACACATCCTTCATAAGATGATAGAGAAAGAAAACTAATAAGACGAATTAGTCACGGGTCATTCATTTTGAAATTCGTACCAATACTGAGTATTAATAAATTTTACATTACGTGTATTTTTTCAATATGAATGAGCAACAATATTGAGTAATATATTGCTATCTGTATTTAATAATTTGGAATAATTTTACAGACAAAATACTATTAATTTAACAATCTACTTTAAACATTGAAAAAGCTGTTTATGATAAAAACTAAATTGAATATTCGAGACTTTTGATTGGATTGAATGACAAACTAGATAATCATAAACAATTTATAGGTTCATTGTTTTTTTCGAAAAGAAAATATACATTAATCAGTATATTCAAATATTGTTTAATATACAAAGATTTTTATTTCAAATAAAATAAATAAATCAAGTTTTGCATAAATGATGCAGCTATCAAATAGAAATAATGTTCTAAATGTCGCATATAGCGAAAGAGATATCAGTTCAAAAGAAGTTTCACATGTACCGTTGCTTATTATAAGATTAAAAACTCTGTCGAATCGCTTTAGTTTTTATATTAGACTATTACATCAAACATACTATTATTAACAATAGATATTTTCTATCTGGTTGATAATAAACATATGTGTATTTTTTCGATATATATGTTTGTCATTTTCTACTACTGTTTTAGAATTTCAAAACGATAGTACTAAAAGAGTCTTTGAAAGGATCAGAAGCATCCTTATTTTGTTAGACATCCAAAATCAATAATTTCAAAATATGCTGGATATTATTCCCTCATATGTCTCATCTCTATTACCTGATGTTTTCGAAAAATTAGTCCATATATTTTACTACTCTTCATTTTTCAAGCTTTACTTATTTCACAGTATGAAGATTTTAATCTTAGAAAGAATAAATCGAACTGATGCCTGCCATTTGACCTTATATTCAGCTAGCGATACGAATACAAAAACTCTAAAAAGATTCATAACTGTGAGCCTTTGAAAATGAATTATAATCATTCTACTCAATTTTCGATTCAGCTAGGGATATCTACCAAAACGTCAAATAACCGAATTTCAACATGAAATTTTGTAGGCATTACTAGATCTATCTATGGACAAAACTTCAAATTCAAAATTCATGATTTAGTTTTTCGAGAAGTATGTCAAGCTTCATCGAAGATTCAGCAAAATGATCAAAGCTCGACTCTAAAGACTGATAATCTTCACATCAGTTATTTTCACAAACTAAAGTTTCAAAGTTATACATAATTATGTTTATTTTTGATCAAATAAGATGAAAACATATTCATGAACAATTATTGTTCTTATTTTAAAAC